GTCATTCCTGAAGCCTTGTTTCCTCTCCCCTGCACTTCCTGCGTCCTTCCTCCCTACTAAAATGAAATGCCGAGTCTCTGGGCTGCCTTGCTGGGTGCTGAGGAATCCAGGGTGAACAGGAGGCCACACATCAGGGACAGAACTATTAAGGTGCCGCGCGTGAGAACCTCAAGGACAGACCAGTGTCATGAATTCAGCCCCGCAGGCCCAGCCCAGCACAGGCCTGGCACTTTGCCGGTGCTCGGGGAACATCTGTGAGATGAAAGGAATCTGTTGTGTGTCCCCCCTGACAAGTTGTAACCCCCAGTACCTGTGGATGTGACCTCATTTGGAACCAGGTCTTTGCAGATGTAATCAAGTTAAGGCAAGGTCGTCCTGGATTGGACAGATCTTAACCTGGTGACTGGTGTCCTCGTAAGTGGAGGGGAATTTGGACACAGACACACATGGAAGACACCATGGCAGACGGAGGCAGAGATTGGACTGATGCGTATAAGCCAACAAGCGACTGTGGCCACCAGAGGCGGCCCCCACTGACACCTTAATTTGGACTTCTGGCCTCCAGAACTGTGAGAGAACGACTTTCTGGGGCTTTGAGCCACCTAGTTAGTGGGCAATTTGTTACGGCAACCCTAGAAACGAATACAGTGTCCAAGACTCATTGATTCCTGGGTCGCATTTCTACCAGGCCCCAACCCAGGGGGCAGAAGCTGCCCAAAACTCCACTGCAGGCTGCTCTCAACTTTCCCTGACCAGCAGAGGACCACGCCTCATCCGACACTAGGCGGCGCCAGCAGGCCGCACCATCCTCTCCGAGGGCTCCAGCGTTGGCAAAAGGGACTGAGCATGGAGAGTCACCCATGGGCCGAGCTCCCAAATCCAGGAACTGCTTTAAGATCTCAGTGAAGTGGTTTTGTCTGTCTGAGAGAGGAAATCGGATTCTCTCCCCTGCAGACTGTCCTGCCACCAATCCCTGTTCACCCTTGGCAGCCTCAGAGTTTGAGCTGCTGGGGGAGAAGTCAGAGGCCCATGACGGCCTCCCAGGTTCAGCCCTCACAGGCTGGCTGTGCTTGGGGCCGACCCGTTCCCCTTCGGAGCGCTCTGCCTGTGGAAGTCCAGCCATTCTACTTTCACCCCAGATGCGATTCCCAGAAACAGGCTTTGGTGCTCCCATTGGTCGGGTGTGCTGGGACCTCAGTCCCACACTCCTCCCTGATTATTTAGCTTCTTTTCAAATTGCAATGAATAACTTGTACACATAGGACATTTCACACATAAGCAAGGACATCTGTAAGAAAGGCAATTCTAATTTTGGCAGGTCTTAATACAATTATATATTAGGCTGAAATTGCCCATATGTGACCTTTTCTATTAACCTGCAAAAAATGGCCATTTCATGTGATTCGTAGTTTTGTATGTTGGTACTTTTGTTCCTATAGGTCTCTAGCCTACAAAGTCCTCTGGTTCCCACTTCTCACCCCACAGCTCCTCTTCACTCACTTCCCGTCATGCTGGCACTCCACTGGAGCTTTTCTTTTTGTAAAATTCTGCCTTAAGTTTTAGGCAGAGGTTTAATCTCCTGCATACTCACTGAGGGCAAAGACTGAGTCTTATCTGTGGCTGTGCCCTGGACCTAGTACAAGGCTTTGTATAAATCCTAAAAAGAAAAATTGTGGTCTTGTTGAATGAATTTGCAAATGAATGAGTGAAGAAGCGATTGCAGTACGAGACGGAGTGGTCATCCCACAGAGAGGCTATGGCACCAAAAGTTTCTACATCTCCTTGGAGCACAGAGGCTTAAGGGTCTCACGAGACCACCCAGAAACCACAGCAGCCCCTGTGCTTAGTGTGTTTGGGTTGTGCCCTCACACACACACACACACACACACACACACACACACACACACTCGTACACACACCCAGATGTTCAGCCCCAGCCAGCAGGCTTGACCTGCAAACAGGCCGCCTCTGCTGGGGAAGCCCACACTTGCTAAACCCTCTGCGCTGCCTGCCAAGTTGAGAATCATTTCCTGCCCGGGTCTCAGAAAGTTCACGCTGCCCCAGATGGTCTGCTCAGGAACATTCCCATGTTGTGAAATTTCCTTCTCTGGGGGCCCTGGGTGTCATGGGAAATAGGAAATGCTGGACAGCTATTCACCTCTCGGTGTGGGATGGGACCGTCCCCAAGCCCTGCAAAGCCTACAATGCTCCACCAGGGAGCTTGGAGGAGGGACCAGGGCTGCCCTGGGAATGTGCCACCTCTTGCCCCAGGTTCAGATTAATTCCTTGCCTCAGGAACTTAAGATGAAATTATATATATATGTATATATATGGAAAAGTCAAAACTGTGATGCCCCCCTAAATTAAATAAGCCATGTGTTTTATATATTCCATATTCCAATAACCCATATGTAATTCAGAGAGGAAATCATAGTTTTGACTTTTCCTCTCAAACATGGATATCTTGGCCTTCAAACTTGGACAGTTTCCAATACGTTTTTGTTATAAAGAGTTAAGCAAACATATTTTAAAAATTAATAAAACAAATGTGAATCAAAACAATATCATTTTCTTTCAACTGGTATATTTTTTAAATTGATAATTGCCAATGCTGGTGAGGTTGTGGGAAAATGAACACTGCCAATGAAAATATAATTTGGGATAACTTTCATTGTGGGCAATTTGAGGTATATCAAAAGCCCCTAAAATGTGCATTTCTCTTGATCCAGCAATTTTCTTTCCAGCAATTTATCCTAAGAAAATAATCTAAAATGCTATCAAACCATTGGTCATAAGAGTTAAAAAAAAATGGCAACCTGAAAGTCCAAATTTCCAATATGATAGAAAACTTTGCAGCCTTTAAAGTGATGTAGATGAATGTTTTACGGGCTAATAGACTGTAAATTTTAAAAAACCAAAATACTATTAAAAAGGGATCCTTTTAAAGAGGAGAATACAGGCATAGAAAAAAGAACAACATTGCCAGTAGGAGGTGGTGTTATGGATAATTTTAATTTTCCTTCTACTGAGATAAAAAAAGTATTACTTTGGCATATTTAAACGTTTTTAAAAAATAATTTTTATTAATTGCAGAGAGGAAGGGAGAGGGAAAGAGAAATAGAAACATTAATGATGAGAATCATCAATCGGCTGCCTCCTGCACAGTGGGGATCAGGCCCACAACCCGGGCATGTGCCCTGACCGGGAATTGAACCATGACCTCCTGGTTCATAGGTCAACGCTCAACCACTGAGCACTGGCCGGGCTAAAGGTATTTTTAAATATTCTGAGAAAGATGCTGAGAGCTTGTTACTACTTTTGTTGCTGTCTAGGGGTCTCAACTTTCCAAACTGTGAGATGGGATTCCGCAGCAGGGCAGGAAATTCCTTCTCTCTCCTCCCATCCACCTTTCTCAACGCGAGGCAACCACTTCGCAGACAGCCCTTCCCCAGCAGCCCTGCAGGTTCTGTGGGCTTTGTTATCGTTGTCCCCACCCACCACCTGCCATCAAAAGGCAACAATCCCAGCGTTGACCCCATGTTGACACGTCTCCCTTCCCCAGCATTCCTTACCTGATGGGACCTGTTTCTGCCCATTTTCTACCTGAAGCCCGTTGGTTAGAACAGTCTGTAAAGGCAGAAAGGAGGCGGTGAGGCCTTTGAGAGGCAGACAGCGCCTGATGGGGTAGGGGTGGGAGTCATTTTAGAACTACCTGGGTTTGAATTAAATCCTGGCTCCACCTTGGGCAAGTTAATGCAGGTCGTCATGCCTGGGCTTTTACGTGGCCTGGGGCTGCAGGTGATAATGGCGCCTGCCTCGTTAGTTGCTGTGTGGATTCCACACTATAGGCTTCCAGCTGTGCCTGGCACACGTAAGTGGTTTTTAAGTACCAGCTATTATCACCGTTTTAAGAGTTGGTAAACTGTTCTTCCCTTCACCTTCCTTGCAACTACGGCAATTATGTTTGTGCGGAGCCTCCTGAGGACTGGTGCCACTGAGATTAAGACTAAACTGTTTTCCCACCCAACACTGTGAGGTAGGAAACCAGTCACCCCGACCATTATACCCAGAGCACGAGTGCCCAGTGCATCCCTCCACTCACACCCTGACCACCTGCCGGGAGGGCTCCTTGCTGTCAGCCTGCCTCCCTGGCAATGACCTCTTCACCTCTGCGTGCTCCGCCTCTTCACTTTTTAGATCTCCAACATTCCCTCTCCCACACGGGTCTTCCATCTCTCCATCTCAGAGGATTGCTTCTTCCCCCACAGACCCACAATTTCTTCCATGGTCTCCAGGTACGGGATGCTGCATCCCCCTGAAGTCTCTCTTCCTAAGACATGGAGACAGCTTCCCCACTCCCCCCCAATGCAGAGCTTAGTAAGTCAATCTGCTCCTTAAACCTGTCAAGCACTTCCCCTTGCTCTTAGGATAAAGGGAAGCTTCCCAGCATGGCTGGAGAGGCCCTGCCTCCACAACCTAGCCTCTGCCCTCTCCCTCAGCCCTGCCATGCAGCAGCCCTAGAGTCCTTTTAGTTTCTCAAACTGGCTGTGCTTTCTGCTGCCTTTGCACCCACACACGTAGTGTTTTGCCCCTTAGCCTCGCTGTACCGGCCTCACATCTCAGCTTAAATGCCAGTTTGTCCAAAAAGAGCTTTGCCTGCCTACACTCCCTTACACTTCCCCGATCACACTGTCATCAGGCACCGTTGTAACTGCCTGCCTTCCCAGCACATTAGAAATCCATGCAGGTCTTGCTCACTGCTCAACCCCAGCATGAAAACGGTAGTTGGCACACTGAGAGCGTTTTTAAAGAGAAAAATGTATTCCCACTTATGTTTGTGGTCTCTCTTCCTTGTGGCATGGACCACCTCCCTGTCCTATCTCCATCTCCTGCCAGGCACCTCTCCCCAGAGCTGGTGCTTCATCCCTTCATGAGCTCCTACCCACACACAATCTTTTCAACCTAGGGTTTCTATAAAAATTTCACGGAAGGATCACATCTCTCACAACTGCCTCATAAGAACTTTTTTTATTATTTAGAAATGCAGTTATATACATAGAATTAAAATTAAATTAAACTTTGTACAAATATTAAAATACTATCTTCACACCCACTGCAATGTACAGGATACCAAAAAATATATATAAAATAAAGCAAACCCAAACTGATTGACATCCTGCACATAGTCAATGATGCAAGTGTTGTTTTAAACCATTATGTGAGTACCATTCTGCAAGGTTCCATAGTGGTGTGATAAGCCAGGGCAGGGTGTGGTAGCGGCGGCCACACAACCCGCGTCCATCTCTCCTCCCTGCTTGGCAATCCAAGTGCTCTGCCCCTGCACCCTCTCCAGAGAGCTCTGCTGCCTGGCGCAGGGTTTAACTTTGAGGTTTCATTCAAAATTCTACTAGGTTTTCAACTGGAGATTACGAGTTTTCCAGCAAAGCTAAGCCTGCCAAGCCAAGTCCCTCTGAGCTCTTCACTGATCATCAGTAATGTCTGTCCCGATGCTGAGCCCCAGGAGGCCTCGAGAGAAGCTCCCAGCCAGTACATGTGGGGTTCAGCTGGAAAGCCTGCATACCACTTCCCTTCTGGGTCCTTTATTCTCTTTGAGGGGAGGGGGGAAAAAGAGCAAGGATGTAGAAATGTTTGCAGCATATTCTGCTCTTGATGTAAGCATGTAATCTGGGAATGGAAGTGACATTGTTACGGGGGAAGCAAGTGGTCTGAGCGCTCAGCTGAGACTGGGAGGGAGAGGCTGAGTGCTATCGTCCCTGTGCCACCACTAACGAACGAGGCAGGAAGAAGATACCTTTGTCAGTCTTGCCATTCCACGGAACTTGGGGGTGGGGGTGGGGGGTGGAAGGCAAGATGAATGGGGAAGATAACATTAGTTCCAGTTTTATTTGCAAATGGAGTGTTAGAACACACACTGAAATGCCTTATAACCCAAAAGAACTCACAATTGGCCAGGATTCAGCCCATTTCACAGTTCACGCTGAGTGAAATGGGAACACAGCACACAAAATCCAGAAATGGCAAAAGATAGAGCCTACTTGCTAAACTAAGGCATGGAAAGGGATGGAAATATATGTGATCTTCACCAAAGACTGGCCCTTGTAAGTCACTGGAATGTAACTGCAAGTTGCCAGGACATAAAACCTGCATTGAGTTATTAGCTCATGTGTGCAAAAAATACCTTTTCAAATAAAGTCCTTTGGTGCTGACCATTCTCCTGGACAAGCCCTCTGCTGGACTCCCCTAGAGGTGAGCCCAGAAAAGCCAGGCTATGGACAGTTTTCCCACCTGCTCCAGACTCCTCTGACAGCCTCCTTCCTGGCAGCTATAAAGTCCCTAACCCCTTGCAAGGGACAAAAACCCAGAAGCTCCTGGACAGTAGCAAATGGCTGATGGCAAGAAACTGCTCCAGGGAAAGAGAACGAACAGCTGTCATGGATGCCAGCAGGATGAAGCCTGGTTCCTGCACCCACAGGCCCAGAAGTGGGCCTCATCCATGCCAGTGACAAGGGAGTGAGGGGAGGAAGTGAAGAGGAGAGGTGGGGCCAAAAAGGGAGGCTCCCATTTACCCTTCTTTCTTTCCTGCCGGCACACAAGTCTGGGTCTGTGCCCCCAGGACAGGGTTGATGGCGGCTGGCTGGAAGAACGCTGCAGAAAGAAGGCTTTTCATTTTTCCAAGGCCTGAGCCAGTAACCTATGGGGCTGAATAATCCCAAAACAAAAAGTGCAATCTCTTAGGGGAGGGAAAATGCCAGAGTATGCTATAAAAAAAGAGTAAGATCTCTCATTAAAAGAAAAAACTCGGCTAGAATTCAGGTTTTGGATAACTGGGAATAAATCAGTAGGCTCAGCAGACTCCAAATCCCACACCATGTGCCCTGCTTTCTTTTTTTGGAGGAAGACAAGGGCACCCCTGCGGGGAAGGAGAGCCCACGCATAGGGAGGCAGCTGGGTCACGAGGGGCCCACCATCCAGATAGGCCCAGAGCCCATGACTGCTGGCAGGCACTCTTCTGGAAATGGCCTCTTTTGAGGCTAAGGACAGCCCCCTGGTACATTTCATCTCCCTCAAAGGCTCTGACCTCTAGTTCTGGCATCTTTGACAACCTGTTCCATGCCTAACCATGCTGGCCTGGGCTTCAGGCACAGAATTCTCAGGCTCCTGGGTGGGAGAGGGGGGAGGAGGAGTGGCTAACAGGCACAGCAGGCACTGCCCTTACCCTGAGAAAGGAAGACAAGAGAGACAGAAAGAGGCCAGGAATGAGCGGGTAGTAAAGTGCGTGTGTGAGTGGAGGCAGGAGGCTGAGAGGAGGCCATTCCCCTAATCTTCCAGGCCACCCACTCCTGGAGCTACCCTGCTTGGTCAGGTATTGAAAAAATATTGGGCTCTTTATTACTTTTACCACCCTAGAGGCTCAAGGAAGGAGCGGAGGGGCAGCATGGGGTGGGGGTGGGACCTCTGAAGTTCCCCAGCCCCAATGTTTCAGAAACAAAAGTAAATGCCACGTTTTTTAAAGATGGAAGCAGCCTGCCTGAGCTTTGCCACCCCAGCCTTGTCAGCATTCACGACGTGGCTAAGGGAGAGCCGAGAGTCGGAGAAGCATCTGGAGCACGGAGCCCACTCCTTCAACACCAGGGCCAGGTGCCAGGCTGCTCTGCAACCCTTCACCCACAAGGGTGTGTGTGTGGGTGAGGACTGCCTCTCAGCCCCTCCCCCTTGCCCAAGACAACCAGGGAGTCATCTGTCAGCTGTGAGCAGGAAGGGACAGCAGGGGAGGGCAAGAGTAAGAAAAGCAGCAGCGCAGCAAGCAGCAGGACGCTTCCTGGACCAGTTACTAAGGCACGTGACTGTGGTGAGGAGGACCCTCAGGACTGGGGCTGGAGCTGCCTGCAGCTGCCTGGGGACTTAGTCTGTGCCTCTCAGGTTCCCCTCCGTCACCACAAACCCAGAACGGGCAACTTGCCCTGTCAGTAAGCAGATGGGCAGTCCATGGCATCTCAGCGAGCTCCTGTCCCAGGGATGATTCCCCTCAGAACTCTGTGGGCAGCAAGGTAGCAGCAGCTGCCGCATAAACCCCAGGTGGCAACATGCAACTTCCCCTTATACTCCAGAAAAAGAAAAGCAGAGACCAGGAAGCCACGCTGAAGTAGGAGGCGAGAACTTGCCTATTAGGAAGACAACCATTATCAGCCACCTTCCTGCCCTCCCCTGGGATCCCCTGGAAGCTCAACACAGCAGGGCCAGGAGCTGGCACCTCTGAGCTGGACAGCCGGTGCTGGGTCAGCTTTGGCAGATTTTCCACATCCTCCGTCCCCAGCCAAGAAAACGTGTCACCAGTGTCAACCAAGGGCAGGCCCAAGGACCCACACTCTTGCTCCAGTTAGTCCCTCTTGTCTCCCCAGCTCCCACTCTTGGATCTGCTCCTGATAAGCCCTCAAAGGAAACAAGCCAGACCCAGGCCCACCCCTTGTGTGGCAGGGGGCAGCAGTGCAGCCACTAAGGCTTGTAGGACAGCAACAGGCCTGCGTGACAGGGAACCTGGACAGGGTGGGGGGAAGGCACAAGTAAACACAGCGGTTCTCTGGCCCATGTGGGCTGGTTGGGGCGGCCACCAAAGAATTGGCTGGAGGGCTCCCAGAGGCCCGGAAAAGGAAGGGTTCAGTCCGGCACATTCAAACATGTTCCCGACACAGATGGGAAGGCTGGACCAGGCAAAAAGCCAGTTCCTCCAGCTGTCAAGCAGGCAGATGGCAAGAATCTTCCTTGAGTTTCCAGCAAGGTGGGCCTGCATGCCCTCAGAGATCCACAGATCCACAGGTGGCAGCTCAGCTAGCCGGGCAGGGTGCTCAAACCCACAGGGAGAGGGAAGAAGGGCAGAGAGGACCATTGCAGAGGAGAGAGGCTGGTGGCAAACCTCATGCTTCTTTCAACAGCGGGATATCTACAGGAAGAGAAGGAAGCACAGTGGTTACCCCGTGTAGGTCTCTGCAGCACACCAGATCCCACTGTAGGGGCCCTTAATTTAAAGAAATAAAATGCACTACTCATACTCTTCTAGGTAGTCTAAATCCCTTCTCCCCCCTCCCCCCACCTTTTTTAGCACTTTTTGCTCATCTCTCCCCCTGGCTATGTGATAACATCTGAATGTTCAGACTGGTATTCAAACCTTCTGATTTCACCAACCTGAACCCTCCTCTGCCTTAACTGCTTGTCTGGTTGCTTCTCTTTCTGTCCTAATCTCGCCCTGTGGATAGTACTGAGCTCTGTTCAAGTCCCCTCTCCTCCTTAATGTCATTGTCCAGCTGTGTGATAGTGAATAACTGACGCTTCAGGTCCTGACTCCCTACGGTGCTGTCAGTCCCAAACAGCTTGGGCATGGCCTGCAACAAACTCGATAACCTATGTGTTTTGTTTTCTGAACCCCTCTTTTGGCATGTACTCTAGCATTCTTGGTTCCATTATTTTTTGAGGATAAGCCCCATCTTCCCAGGTGACTGACAATCCAAGCAGGCAGAGAGAATGTTTTCTATTTCTTTGTATCAACCCTGAAACCTAACCTGGCACTAGGCATAAGACGGACTCTCAGAATGCTTGTTTGGTACATGGAACAAAGCTAGGTAGCAAGAAGGGAAGTGCTGGCACCATCTTGGCTCCTTAGGAAGGGCAAGGGCTGAGATTTGCACTTGGACATTGTCACTCTGTGTGGACACACAGTATATGTGCACTTGGACAGACAGTATGTGTGGCTGGCTGCCCATGGGGTCAATGGTTTCCACCTTTAAACCTTGGTCAACAAGTTAGTTGACCTTTCCTAGCTCTATATCCTAAAGAAGGAAGGCATGTTGCTAATCATTGAGAAACTCCATAAACAGGATCTGCATTCAAGAATTTCCGATTTCCTTGCTTTCATATATGCTAACTGTGCCTGGGATTCCCTGGAAGCATAAAGCTTTCTTGGGGGCGGGGGGAGGTTTGTAAGTGCACAAGTACTTGCTGTCAAAAGGAAGCATCTAGGTTTTGTCTGTATCCTGAACCACACTGGGATTTCATGTAAAATGATATAGAGTCAATCCCAACATTCAACTCTCAAGGCCCTGGCAAAAGCAGAGATGTCAGGAGGTGGCAATTTCGTTCTACAGCTGGTTTGCCACAAAGGACCTGGAGTCATCTGGGAGGCAGCATGGTACCAAGGCTGCCTAAACAGGCTTTGGAACCGATCCACCTGGCTTCATATCCCAGCTCACCAATTACCAATGGACAAGTACCTTAGCCTCTTGGAGCCTCCGTTTCCTCATCCGTAAAATGAGGACAGTAGCATGTAATACCTACCTCTCAGGATCACTGTGAGGCTTAACTGAGATAGTGTAAGAAAACCACCTAGCAAAGGCCCTGGCATAGTCCTATTTAAGACAAAGCAGCTGAATGCTATGGAAAAGAAACAGGCGCCAGTTTCTCTGTCATATGACCCCACACACCTCCCCGTAATTTCTGTCCTTTCAGGAGTATAAAATTACGTGAGGACAGACCTCATCCTCACCTCCAACCAGCTGTTTACCCTTTGATTTAGCACAGCCCTGTGGCCATGAATAATTTTGGAGACTCCAAACTATCAAAATTCACAGACCACAATGAAAGTCTCCCTATACAGAGCCCAAAGAACCACCTAGAACTGAGGGTAAAATCCTATTTTGCAGGCTAATACCCCAGGTATTATCTTTCTTTGTCTCCCTGCTCCCCTAATACACCAATTATTAGAGAGGCTCACAACTTTTCTTACTCCCAGGAGGGCCTGGAGCTGCTAGTAATTCATGATCGGTGCAGACCACCTACCGTCTGTGTAGTCCTCCGATGTGAGGGATAAAAGGCTTTGTATGTCACTGTTCTCTGAATCCGGGGCTTCTTTGTGTGCCAGTTGGCTGTTCCCTGAGCCGGCCACCCAGGAAGAGGTGGTTGCCTGATGCACTATCACAGTCTCTGAGCCCCGGGAGCCCCAGGCTTCACACAGTCCAGACTGGCCCGGGGCCTCCTCCTCTCCACCTGCAGAGGAGCAGGCCCCCTGGTCCTGTAGCTGCTGCTCCCTTGGCCCATTCCTCCCACTAGGCCCAGACCCCTCTGACAGCACAATCTGTACTCTGGGGTCAGCGGGCGGCACGCAGTGACCGGAACTGCCATACACAGCCTCCTCATATGACGGTAGTGCAACTTGGACTCCATCCACCATGATGGAGACCTGGTCCCCAGATACCCCCTGGTCACGCCTGCATCCGGAGGAGGAAAAGACAAAGGAAGAATTAAAATACACAGACAAATAAATACCATAATATTGTACTAACAACACTAACCATTTTTGAGTATTTACTATGCACCTGACACAGCACTAAGTGCTTTATATACTTTATCGCACTGAATCCTCACCTGAGCCCTTTCAGGTAGAGCTTCACCAACAATGCAGATGAGGCTCAGAGAAGTTAAATAACTTGCTCACAGTCAAGAGCTAGTAAGGGAGGAAGCTGGGATTTAAATCCAGTTCCACCTGCTTCCAGAAACTATCTTCTTTACCTCTGGGTACACAGGCATCTAGCCCTCTGGTCCTGTGCAAAACTGGGAACCTAGAAATAAAGCCATTCATTCAGCACAGCTAGAATAAGAAGTGAGAAAAAGATGGCTGCTACCTGTGACTATAACTAAAAATGACTGTCCGTATGCGTAAATGAGTACAGTGAATGATGTGTAAACTGTATCTCCATGCCCAGCCGGCGTGGCTCAGTGGTTGAGCCACCTGTGAAGCAGGAGGTCATGGTTTGATTCCCGGTCAAGGCACATGCCTCAGTTGTGAGCTCAATCCCCAGTGTGGGGTGTGCAGGAGGTAACCAATCATTGATTCTCATCATTGATGTTTCTATCTCTCCCCCTCTCCCTATCTCTCTGAAATCAATAAAACTATATTTTATATATATATATATACACACACACACACACACACACACACACATATATATATATATATATATGTATACATACCCATAAAGTGGTTTTTATCTATTTTATTTATTTTACTCAACATTACGTTTGTGAGATTTGTTCATGCAGACACTTTTTGGGGGATCACTTGTTATGAATATACACACATACACACTTTTTAAGAAAAATCTGAACCATTTTGAAAGTTGAAGACATTATTCAGTATACACCTCCCAAGAACCTTGTCTCCTATATACAATTATCATTACATCCCAGAAGTGTGACATTGGTATAATACTGTAACATGAATTTCCCCATAATATATTCATTTCAGCTGTTGTTTGTTTTCATCCAGGACCCGTTTAAGGATCATGCACTGCATTTAACTGCCCTGTCTCTCTTCTTATCTCCTTTAATCTAGAAAAGTCCCCTGCAGCTTTTCTTTCATGACAATTTTTTTTCCTAGACTCCAGGCCAGCTGTCTCCTAGAATGTCCCACATTCTGGACTTGTCTAATTGTTTCTTTGGGATTATGTGCAGGCCAATTTTTTTACTGGAACACAACATAGGTGATGTGTCCGCAGTGCATTACAATTGGAGACGTATGGTCTATGGCTGGACAGCATTATTACTTGACTATTATTAGTTCTCAATTTCTTCATCTGTACTTGGAGATAAAATCTGTGCTACTCAATTCAAATAGAGTACACACTGTAAGGATGACAGAAGTGGCACTCATAAAGGTACTTAGAGGTTTCTGGAAGGAAGACAAACTTTGATGGCAAGGTGGCATTAGAAGGCAGTGTGTATTCTGGCATGTGCTTAACTTTCAATGTTCAAAATAAATTTTTTGTTTAAAAAGTAATACATGTACACAGTACAAAATGTAAACAGGGTCTCAAATGAAAACCAAATCTCCCTTCCACTCAAGTCAGGCAAAATCAACCAGTTACTTTTAACAGACTTACTAGTTTACTGCAAAAAGGAAAACCTCCCTAATGTGAATGAAATGCCAAATGCAGTTGACTTTATGTGGAAATAGCCGATTCCTTCAAGTAAACAGTCCCTTCCAAATCCTCTTTATTCTACTAACTGCTTAACAACCTTTAAAAATAGTGGTTAGACCATCAGCCCATGCACTGAAGGCTCGAAGGTTCGATTTCCAGTCAAGGGCACATACCTCAGTTGCGGGTTTGCTTCCTACCCCATCAGGGCACATGCAGGAGGCAATCAGTCAATGTGTCTCTCTCACATCAACAGTTCTCTCTCTCTCCACCGCCCCCCTCCACTCTCTCTGAAAAGCAATGGAAAAAACATCCTCATGTGAGGATTTAAAAAAAAAAAAAAAAAGCTGCTATGCCCAGCCCCAGCCCCAAATAAACAAAAGAAAAAGAAAACCACACACAGTACACAAAGGTTAAACTGAGCCTGGTCCTTGTCTGTAAATTCCAAATCAGAAGCATTTTATTTAAAGCAGTTTAGCCTGTTCTTTCATTCATTTAGCCTGTGAGTGACAACAGTGACTGATGAAGGGCTTGAATGAATAGAAACTGTTCCCGAGAGAGGGAATGAGCTACTGCAGAGGCCATGACAGCCTGGGAGAGAAGTCCATCCTAAGGGATCCACTTGGGGCCACTCCTCACCATTGGCCAGCCTCTCCCCAACCACACCCACCCAATCTGGAATGTGGCTAATGCACTCAACTGGAAAAAGTCAGGCAAGAAAACACCTCCTGTTTTAGTATGGTATAGTGCACTGGCTCCAAGTCCTAGCTGCACATTGGAACACACTTAGGAACTTCGTAAGACACTAGTGCCAGATTCCCATTCCAAACCAAATAAATCAGAATGGCTGGGGCAGAGGCCCAGGTGTTGGTATGTTTTCAACTCCGAGCAGGAGTCTCTATGTGCAGCCAGGATTGGGAACCGGGTATATTGGGCAGTGACTTGTAAATATGAGCCTGCATCAAATCACCTGGAGGGAGTGTGGAACCCTGGCATTGAGCCTCAACCCCAGAGTTTCCAACAGTTGGTCTGGGGTGGGAACTGAAAATCTGCATTCCTAAAAGTTCCCAGATGACACTGATGCTGCTGGAACCACACTTTGAGAACTACTGATGTAAGAAAAAGGACATGGTTTTGGAGTTGGACATATATGAGTTCAAATCTCAGCTCTGTCATCATCTAGAGCAGCGGTTGCCAACCGGAGGTCCATAGACCAGTGGTGGTCCGTGAGGTCTGAAAGGTTGGCAACCACTGGTTTAAGGAAACCTTTGCAGCAGCGGTCACCAAACAGTGGACTGTGGACCAGTGGTGGTCCACAAGGTCCGAAAGGCTGGCAACCGCTGATCTAGGGCAAGCATGTCAAATTCATGGCTGGCGGGCCGCAAGTTTGACATGCTTGATCTAGGGATGACCTTGAGTAAATGACTTAACCTCTCTGAGCTTCAGTTTCCTTATCTGCAATGCTCCTGTGAAAAATTTTTGAAACAATTTATTGGGGTTACATTGGTTGATAAAATTATATAGGTTTAAGGTGTACAATTGTATAATACATCATCTGTATATTGTACAGTGGGTTCATCCTCTGAGGATTAAGATAATGTATGCAAAGCAACAAGCACAGTGTCAGGCACATCAGCGGATGACAGAGCCCGCCCCTTCCCTGGGCACATACAGGCCAGCAGGTAGACATGCCAGCCAAAGGCCAGTCCCACAGTGATGCCTGCCACCCGTGCTCACCTGCTATGATGGAACGACTTCAGCTTTGGCTGCAGCAACACAAACAGCACCACAAGGAGGAGAATGAGTGCCACGGAGCTGGCAGTGGAAGCCACGATGGACAGTGTGGGGACCCCAAATGATGTCTTGGTGTCTTTCTCTACAGAAACAAGCCATCATCAGAAGAGATTTGTATCCAGACAAATACAACATGAGCCCCACAGCTGATCTTATCAAAGGCCCCCTGCATGGTGCTGTGCAGAGACATACATTGGCCAAGGACATTTTTAGGAGTAACAGTGCAAAACAGTTTATACACACAAGAAAAGGGATCATCTCCCTATCCTGTTCCTGAATCTAATATTCCCTTCACTGTGGGCCTTGGAGGGCCATCTGACACCTAAACTCACTCACCTAGAGATCTTACCTTTTTAACCACGTCTGTTACTGTCCCCAGTAGCCAGCTGGTAGACAGCAATCATTTAAATGAACACATCAGTCCACCATTTTAAGTCCCACCTATCTTTTTCCCTATGTGGCAGAAAAATTTTAAGAACTGGGCTATAATAACCTTACCCTGTTCTAAGATCATGCAGTTTTAGTTGTTAACTCTCAGGCTGGTTCCCACACTTCTCTGGGATGTGATGGCCTCAGAGCCCGAGTGTGAAGCACAAAGATGGCTGTATACTTTCCTGCAGGCAGCTGGATTTTCCCGTCATGCATGACAGGAGGTGGGGGAGGTCTTCTGTCCAGCTGGACTATAGCTCCATAACAAAACAGTTCATTACCATTCAAAAATAATAATATAAAAGAGACACTATAGAAGGTGTTAACATGGTGCTCATGTGTTAGCAGAACACGGTCAAAGGTCACCAGCACTTGGCTAGGCAAACAAAAGATCAGGAGCATCAAAGGGATCTTACACAGCCAAACAGATGCCTCAGCAAAGCTACTGAACCCCTTGGTGGTTCAGACGAACCACAGTGGGACACACACGAGCAACCCCAAAGGAAGGGAGTCTGCAGGGCATCAAAGGGCCCATACTGCCCCACAGCACAGGATGCTCAGGAAGAAGTGGGCACCACTTCCCTTGAGTTAAAAGAAAACAGAACCCCTTTCTCATCTGCCAAACTGACCCTCGTTAAGATGGCAGCTAATCTCCATGGCTGGTTTCCATTCGCCATTCTTACACGTCAGGTATTTGTAATCGCCCTTTAGCATGTAGCCTTCAGCACAGAGGTACTCGATGACACTGCCTGAGTTCAAGGGGTCTCTGCAGGGCCGGGGGTGGCAGACGTAGCCACCATTCTCTGGCTCCGGGGGCAGGGAACACACTGCAAAGACAAAGAGAGAGTGAGAAATAGTGGTGAGGTTTTCCAGTGGGAGTTCTCTCAGTGACTCAGAGGACAGTTCCAAAGGCTCCTCCAACAAGAAACACAAGGAGTACAGAGCCAGTGTCTTGGAGAGGCTGTTGGCCCAATGTGGAAATGCAGGTTGCCACTAAGAGAGTGAAAGGCGCTGGCAATGATTTTAGTTTGGCTGATTCCAACACTCCTCTCCCCACTGTTCCCACAAGCGAATGGTAGACTCTGACGAAGTCCTAAACTTACAGAGATCTAGCACATAATATGGCTTTAATAACACCTGCTGAAACACACAATGAATCAGTGAAAGGTGGTAAAAAAAAACTCTTAACTTGCATGGGGGGAAATGTTAGCCTTATTTCCAGTATCAATACCATTGTATAATAAAAATGTGCCTTCTCGCCTGGCTGGTGTGGCTCAGTGGTTGAGCATCGAACTATGAACCAGGAGATCACAGTTCGATTCCAGCTCAGGGTTGTGGGCTTGATCCTCAGGGTGGGGTGTGCAGGAGGCAGCTGATCAACGATTCTCTCTCATCATTGATGTTGCTATCTCTCTCCCTTCCTCTCTGAAATCAATACAAATATATTAATTTAAAAAATAGCCTTCTCAGTGGCAGAGGGGATTTCTAATGGATTTCCTGGGTGCACCTCCCACTTCCTGACTATAATAATTCACTGGCATCACTTGTCTCCAGCCCATAGTAAATCTTACATTTTTTTTGTTGGGGTAAGACTGTCTAGTTTTAAAAGCACCTTCCACAATATAATATACAAATGATATATCTTACTCGTTCTGACAACTCCATGAGGGATTCGTTCTGACATCCCCTTTGAAGATGAGGACAGCGAGGCCCACAAAAGTTAAATAACTTTTAGCCAAGTGTATGCAGATTAAATAGCAGACCTGGAAGCAGAGTCAAGTCTTCTGGTTCTAAAACCTGTGCTCTTTACACCGGCAGACACTGCTTCTGCCCCATTAGCTGAGTGGGCCTTTAAGAAGTGTCAAGTGTATCATTCAAACACTGGGAACCCCAGTGTAGAGAAGTTGCAGTAATGATCAGTAAGAGGAGCTGGAAGGTGGGAGGTCCGAGCAGCCTGGAGGGGAGATTCCATGGCCTGCCCTTCTGACCCTGGACAGACACCGCAGAACTGAAATCCAGGATGTGGATTAAGTGGTGTACTTAGCCAAAATAGGAGGGGCACAGTGTGGGCACTAAGGGATCATTGTTTGGAAGACTAAGCTGGGGGAGAAGACCCACTGGCTGGATGGCCAGGCACCCACAAACTTTAACTTTCTGAAGCCTTACTAATGTAAGAAAGATAAAAGTTTCCAAAGGACATTTGATTTTGCTAACACCCTGCCCCCTATTCTGAATACCACAAGGACATCAGTATTGAGAACAGGAACTGTGGGTTTCTTGTGGGGTTTTTTTGTTGTTTTTTTGTTTTCACTTCCTCTAACAGACCTAGAGTCTCTCTGTCTGTCCCAGATATGGCGATCTCCCATTCAGAGGCCCACCCACTATTCTCTCACTCAGAGGTGCCCTTACAGCCTCTCACCGAATACCACTTCCCTTCAACCTACAAAATGTTCTTAAGCAAGCTGACGGTTGGTGAGGATAGAGGATGGCTCCCTGCTCTCTAGTTGCTTATCACTAAGATGGGGGCAAACTCCATTTTAAAAGAGCTGTTACTAAAACAAAGCTGGGATAGGTGCCACAGGGATCAGGAGGAGAAGTCTGAAACTACGAGATGAGTCCACTAGGAGATGGGTCCACATGTCTCCTCGGTCCCAAGGACACACCTTCCCCAGACTGTTTCCAAGCCACCAGGACGCAGACAGACACCAAACACTCCTTCTGGTGCCTCTTTAAACTTCGGCCAAATAGTTCAAAGAGCTGGCCAGCTACATTTCCAAAGAAACCTCAGCAAACTGCTTCACCCTTTACCCCTTTTGTTCAGGCAACAAGCCTGCCACACAGATGCCTCCAGCTCTCCTCTGACTGTGTCTAATTGGTTCATTTTCTCAGCATAATTAATGCAGAGCATCCCTGAAGCAGGCAAGACCCCCACACAGGTCCAGTGTGTTGGGAAGGATGGTCTCCAGGGAAGAGCTGATTCTAAAGCCACTCCTGCTTTGCTGGGAATTTATGCTCTTAAAGCCCACATCTTCACAGGATCTTTGAGTGAGATCCTGAAGGTCACCTAGCACTCATTTTTATAAGTAAAAAAGTGAGGTCTACAAAGAAGTGACTTGCAATTCAATTTCATTTCAATTCAACTAATATGGATTGATTACTGGGTAAGGGTCATTGTGCTATGCTCTGAAAAAGGATAAAAACATAAGGACTTCGCCCCGCCAGTGTAGTTCAATTGATTGAGTGTCATCCCATGCACCAAGAGGTCACCAGTTTCATTCCTGGTCAGGGTACATTCCCAGGTTGCAGGCTCAGTAGGGGGCATGCAGGAGGTAAATAATCGATGTTTCTCTCTCAATGATGTTTCTATCTCTCTCCCTTCCTCTTTCTCTAAAAAAAAAAAAATCAATAAAAATATATTTTTTAAAAAACACATAAGCACTTCAGATACTTGTAGTCAAATAGGGATATGACAAATAATTACATACATATATTTTGAAAGTCATTTTCTTTATAGCTCCCGAGTTTTGTGTCTTAAGGACACTTTCCTTACTCTGAGGTTATAAAAATATTATCCAGAACTTATAGATTGGATCTTCGTTATGCAAATAATACCTTTACAGGGGAAAAGCACACAGTAAGAATATATACGTAGTATAAAATTTAAAAACTAAGATGAGTGTAGAGTCAAAAGTTAGCTCTTCTCCTGTCTCCTAGTCACTCAGTTCCTCTCTCCAAAGGCACTGGATGAGTATTCTTTCAAAGATATTCTACACACAGATTTATTCCAAGACATGTCAAAGAATGTGAATGGTGACACAAGAGAGGGAGCTCAAAGCAGGAGAGATCACATCTTGTGTGGGAGAGATGAGAAAAGGCAGCATTTCAAATGGGGCTTTATTTTCTTGGGAAAGGAGGTGGTAGTTTGAAGCAAGTTCACTGATATAGGAAAGTGTAGTTGTTAAGCCCAGCCAACATCAAGTATCCCACATTAGCTGGGTTGGATAATAAAAAAATTTGGCCCCCCCAAAATGTGAAGAGCAATGAAACCATCTTGAAGACGGCCTTGATGGCAACAGGAGATGTCCGCACTGTATTAAAAAGAAAAGGGGAGCCTCTGCAGGGTCTTGAGAAAGGCAGAGTTATAAGAGGAGCTGAATTTGATATAAGATGGACCAGAGGTAGAGACAGCCTTTACAGTAAGTCAACAGGATAGCTACCCTATTAGGGTAAAATAAATAGTACAAAAGTTCTTTTATGGTCATACAAAGAAAACAAGAGTATATGAGGTTCACCATCACAAAAAGGCTGTCCCAGGTCCAAGGAAGGAAATAAGGAGGACTCAAGAATTTTTTTTTAAAGTATTTCAAGACAACAAGAACCTAAGGGGGGAAAATGGCCCCCTTGCCAATTCAAAGAGCAGAGTGGGAGTCTTGGCAAAGGGCAGGTGTTGGAGCAGACCCCCTCAGTGACGCCTGGGATTAACAGGAAAGGGAAGATCAGGAATAGCAAATAAATCATTGAGTGGCTTCCTGAAGCTACTGTTTTGGGCAAGAAGCTGACTTAATCTGAGCATCAGGCTCGCTCTCTGACAACCCTGGTCCGCAGAGGGAGTTTCAAGCTCTGTTGTTAACCCCAAGAAGACAATGAACTCATCTGATTTGGCAAAGCTGCATAATTTTAAAAAGAGAGTGAGAAAGCCAGAAGATAGAAATTTTACAGGAAAAAAAAAATCAATTCTCCTTACTTAGCTTTCTTCTCTGCTTTACATTATCTCTCGCAATCGCTTAGGCTTCCAGTGAGCACAGGAAGCAACGAGATAATGCTTCAAGAGGGCCTGGCAGTGTGTCTGACGCACAGCAGTCATTCAGTGACAGACCATCCAACCACTGGTGAGGTGAGTGTGCAGACAGAAGAGAAGCAAAATGATCCGCTGATACTTCTACCTCAATGTCTCTGCAGCCTCAAACTCTCAACAGAGATCAATAAGAACAACCCTCAATCTGCTCTTCAACGTTTTTTGCATTTGTTGTTTTGGAGACCAGCTTTTTTAGGAGGAAGAGGCAAATTAAAAGAGAACAAACCTTCATAAGATTACATAAAAAGCAAATCAAGCCCTAGCTGGTTTGGCTCAGTGGACAGAGCATCGGCCTGTGGACTGAAAGGTCCAGGTTTGATTCCGGTCAGGGGCACATGCCTGGGTTGAGGGCTCAATCCCTAGTAGGGGGCGTGCAGGAGGCAGCCGATCAATGATTCTCTCTCATCATTGATGCTTCTATCTCTCTCCCCCTCTCCCTTCCTCTCTGAAATCAATAAAAAAATATATTTTTTAAAAAGTAAATCAAAACAAGCTGCAGGGAAGACTTGGGCGGGGGTGGGAGGGTGGGGGTGGGGTTACAATGTTCCATTTAACAAACTGAACAAATACTTGAGTCCCTTCAAAACGAAGTGTGGGGAGTAGTCGTGTGCAGATCAGCTTGAGGAAAGAAGCAGACATTTAAATACCCAGTGCATTTTAAAAAGATCTCAGTAAAAGAGGTTTCAGGCTGATGACAGTTATCAAGAACACACGACACTCCTGAACAGTGATGGAGGGTTTAAGAAATCGTGTCAGTGCTCACTCACAGGTTTGAAATAATGTAGTTTTAGATGAAATCAGTGCGGTAGAACTCCTGGGCACACAACAACAGTGTGCTGAATAAAAGTTTGGCTGGAGAAAGATTTCCTGGGAATTTAGGGAAGAACAGAGGTTCTCCAAACCAAGCTACCAACATGGCCGTTGTAATCATCAGGGACACAGCTGAGGCAGTATCATAAATGTCCCTATTTG